CTGCAACATCAAAACTATTTTCATAATAATACTTAGGCTTATTTGCCTTTTCTACTGGTGATGGAAAAGCAGTGGAGAGTGAAACAGTGAACCAATACTTTTCAAATGATTCACACATGAGGTTACAAAATCATGCAGGGGTTAAAGATCCATTCAAAGAACAAGGTGGATCAATGGATTTTAATGCAATTATATACAATAAGTTTATTTATCTGGTTTCAGATTCCTCACTGCAACTAATTTTTAAGAAATCAGCACTTTGGAGTTTTAGTATATTAACAAAGAGTATCTGTAACTATGTATAAAGACTATTAAATGATGACTCCCTTTTTAATTTAGAACCAGATTTACTTAATATAATTTAACCTAAAGACCATATACAACAGATTGAATGCAAAAGCAGATAGGATAAACACCAGAGAAATACAAAGGACTGTTAGAAAACATTATGAACAATTATATGCCAACAAATTGGACAACCTAGGTGAAAAGGACACATTTCTAGAATGACACAGTATCCCAAAACTGAACCAGGAAGAGTCAGAAAACTTGAACAGACTAATAACAACTAAGGAAATTGAAGCTGTAATCAATAAATTCCCAGGAAACAAAACCTTGGGTTTAGACTGCTTCACAGGGGAGTTTTACTGAAAATTCAAAGAACTAACACCCATTCTCCTCAAACTATTCCAAAAATTTTAAGAAGACGACTTGCAAGCTTTTTTTAGGAACCCAGCATAATCCTAATTCCAAAACCAGATAAAGACACTGCGAAGAAAGAAAACTACAGGCCATTATCCCTGATGAACACAGATGCCAAAATCCTCGACAAAATATTAGCAAATCAGATAAAGTAATGCTTTAAAAAAATGATTCAACATGATCAAGTGAAATTCATCCCAGTGATACAAAGCTGGCACAATATTCACAAATCAATAAATGTGATACACCACATAAACAAAACAAAATATAAAAACCATATGATCAAATCAACAGATGTTGAAAAAGCATTTGACAAAATGCAGCACCCATTTCTGATAAAAATGCTCAGCTAACTGGGAAGAGAGGGATCATATCTCAACATAATAAAGGCTATGTATGGAAAATCTACAGCTAACATCATACTTAATGGGCAAAGACTAAAAGCATTTCCCTTAAGAACAGGAAGAAGGCAAGGATGCCGATTTTCGCCACTCTTATTTAACATAGTACTAGAAGTCTTAGTCACAGCAAGTAGACAAGAAAAATATTAAAAGAGATCTAAATTGAAAAAGAGAAAGTAAAACTGTCATTACTTGCAGATGGCATGATATTGTACATAGAAAACCCTAAAGACCACCAAAGATGTACTAGATTTAATAAATGAATTTGGCAGAGTAGTAGGGATACAAAATGAACATCCAAAAATCAATGGCATGTTTATACACCAGTAATGAACACACAGAAAGGGAAACTAAAAAAAAATCCCATTCACCAATGCAACAAAAAAATAAATAAAATACCTAGGAATAAACTTAACCAAGTGGGAAAATGACCTGATTTCAGAAAACTACAGGACACTGAAAAAAGAAATAGAGGAAGCCATAAAAAAATAGAAACATATGCCATATTCATGGATTGGAAAAATCAACATCATTAAAATGTCCATACAACCCTAAGCAATCTACAGATTCAATGCAATCCCTATTAAAGTACCAATGGCATATTTCACAGACCTAGAAATAACACTCCAAAAGTTTATATGGAACCAAAACAAACCCTGAATAGCCACAACAATCTTGAAAAAAAAGAACTAAGTGTGAGAGATCACAATACCAGCTATCAAGTTATACTACAAAGCCATCATAATCAAAACAGCCTGGTACTGTCATAAGAACTGGCATATAGATCAATGGAACAGAACAGAGAACCCAGAAATTGACCCAAGATTGTATGCACAATTAATATTTGACAAAGGAGGCAAGAGCATACAATGGAGAAAAGACAGTCTTTTCAATCAATGGTGTTGGGAAAATTGGACAGGTACATGAAAAAAAAATGAAACTAGACCACCAACTTACACCATACATGAGAATGAACTCAAAATCGATAAAAGACTCAAATGTGACCTGTAAAACCATAAAAATCCTAGAAGAAAATGTAGGCAGAAAAATCTCAAACATCATATGTAGCAGCATTTTCACTGATACATTGCCTAGAACAAGAGAAATAAAGGAGAAAATGAACACATGGGAATACATCAAACCAAAATGATTCTGCACAGCAAAAGAAACCAGCATCAAAATGAAAAGGGAACCCACTCTCTGGAAGAGCATATTTGCCAATGATACAATGGATAAGGGGTTAATATCCAAAATATATAGAGTACTCATACAACTCAACAAAAGGAAGACATATAATCCAATTAAAATGGCAGAGGACCTGAACAGACACTTCTCCAAACAGTACACACAAATGGCCAAGAGACATATGAAAAAATGCTCAACGTCTCTAACCATCAGAGAGATGCAAATTAAAACAACTACGAGGTATCATCATACACCTGCCAGAATGACAGCCATCAACAAATCCTCAAACAACAAGTGCTAGCAAGGGTGTGGAGAAAAGGGGACTCTAGCACACTGCTGGTGGGAATGCAGACTGCTGCAGCCACTATGAAAAACAGTATGGTGTTTCCTCAAAAAATTAAAAATGGAACTTCCATTTGACCCAGTGATCCTACTTCTTGGAATATAACCTAAGAAGCCTGAAACACCAATCAGAAAAAATATATGCACCCCTATGTACATAGCAATGCCATTTACAATAGGTAAGATCTGGAAACAGCCCAAGTGCCAGATGAGTGAGTAAAAAAGCTGTGGTACATACACACAATGGAATACTATGCAGCTGTAAGAAAGAAAGATCTCTTACCCTTTGAGATGACATGGAGGGACCAGGGGAGTATTATGCTGAGGAAAATAAGCCAGTCAAAGAAAGACAAGTACCACATGATCTCACTTATTTATGGAACATAATGAACAAAATAAGCTCTCTACTGAAAGAGATCCAGAGTCATGGAATTAGGGGATAGACTAACAAACCTCAGAGAGGTGAGGGGTCGGAGGGGTGAGAAGAAATAGACCAAAGAACTTATATGCATATATGCACAACCAATGGACACAGGCATTAGGTTGGGGGAAAAAGGGGAACATCTGTAATACTTTCAACAACAACAAAAAAAAAAAGCAGAAGAGCAATCTAGCTCTTCATTAAATCAGATATTAAAGAGACTTGCAAAAAAATGTAAGACAATCAGTCCAGCTGGTGTGGCTCAGTGGTTGAGCGTCGACCCATGCATGCACCAAGAGGTCACCAGTTTGATCCCCGGTCAGGACACATGCCCAGGTTGTGGGCCAATCCCCAGTGGGGAGCATGCAGGAAGTGGCCAATCAATGTTCTTGCTCATCGATGTTTCTTTTTCTCTCTCCCTTTCACTTCCTCTCTCTCTAAAATCAGTAGAGAAAAAAAAAAATTTTTTTTTTTTTTTTGTATCCAAAATGTGTTTATTGGGATGGTTCCCCACTCATCTTGATTTGAAGTGTGTTTAGTGCTGCTTCCTTCTGAAGGAGCATACTTTTGTAAGCCTGCTTTTCCTCCTGTTGGCTGACAGAGAATAGTGGAACAACCAACACACAAAACTACTGTTTGTGCATGGCTAAAATCGGTGGTGATTTTATAGCATCCTGAACATTTTACATCCATGAAGTAGGAATTGGGGCTCTGCACCAGACACTTCTTGTGTTTTCTCTTCTCCTCTTCTGGAGAAGGATGAAGGAGATCCTTAGCGAGAGGCATATTGTCGTGGGGAGGTCGTCACCGCCGGAAAGGCAAAAATTTTTTTTTAATGTAAGACAATCATATCCTTCTCACTAAATTGTTTTGTTTTAGATACCATTTTGTCCTAAAAAATATTTTATATTAATATGCAATTGGCTTATTATTTTAAATAAATGAATAAATTATTTATATTTCTGTTTTTATTTCTAATATGATAAATATTGGTTGATATAATCCACATGCATTAAAACACCTTTGGGCCTCTAAATTATTTTTTAAGAGTTTATAGGTCGCCTGAGACCAAAATGTTTGAGTGTTTTAAAACTTTAAATTTTGAAAACGTCTTTTTTAAAAATTGTGTCTCACATATATTTTACATATCAAGCACTTAGAGCATTAAGAACCCTCTGCTATTACTTGTCAATGAGTAAATGAATGAATAAAATTAAAACTATATCAATGTTTTCTCTACTATGCAATTAGTCTCTATTTAGAATACATTAAACAGTATTGTATTTTGTCTCTATATATTAGTCTCCATTCAAGCCCCTCAAGGGAAAAAAAATTGTCTTTTCTATCTTTATGTCAACTATGACTAAAACAATGTCAACCACATTATAGGAAAAAGAATGAATGAATACATTCCTTGACTTTTTATAAGTATGTCAGGAAATAATTCTCCATGATCATTGCAGGGCTAGGCGAAAAAAGTAAAGGGATTAAGCAAAAAACAAAACAAAACAAAAAACTCATAGATAAAGACAATAGTGTGGTGATAACCAGAAGGAAAGGGGAATGAGTGAGAGGAACTGAAGAGGTTATAGGAGGGATAAATGGTGATTTAACTGGGAGGAGACTTAACTTGGAGGGATCAACACATAATACAATATACAGATGATGAATTATAGAATTGTACACCTGAAACCTACATAATTTTATTGACCTATGTCACCCCAATAAATTCAAAGAAAATGAAATGGTAATTATTTTCATTCAAAAAAATAAAAACGATTATATTTTAAATGATGGATTTTTTTTTTTTTAATATTCCATTAAGAATGCTCTTTTGTAAAAAGAAAATAAGTTGCATCAAAGAACTAAGAGACCTTTGGCCTGTGGAACTGAGATGGCCACAGCTGAGGCGGCCATGCTCTGAGGGGAGGGAACTGGGCACCACTTACAATAGCAGGCCCTCTTGGGATGGGAGCCTGTTGGCCACTGCTTCCCAGGTAAATTTTACCCAGCAAGCTTCTAGAAGTCTAAGGAACAAGCAAAAGAGATAGATAGAATTCTGCTTTATGGCACAGAGTAGACACCTCCAAAATGTGTCTGGAATGAAAGATACCACAGAGGTACCTAATTTTTATTATGCCCAGTTATCAACTAAAAGGTATTTAACCTCTAAGGAAGTGACAAGCTTCATCTAAAAAGCCAGTGGCCAGAAGAGGTCCAGTGATTGCTTGTGCATGTCAAAGCTGAAGGTGTTACGAATACCCAGGGAATGACAAATAAATCAATATTTTTGTTCAAATCTTTATTTCAAATCATCAAGATACTGTCTATGCCAATGACCTGAAAGTTGGTCTTTTTCATTGTTTCCTTTAAAATGGTACCTTTTCTTATCCTTAACAAATAGTAGTGAACAATATTGTCATTTATTCTATTAGTAAAGATTCCTATTTTTCTAAACCTAACTAATATTATATTTTCAGTTTACTATACCTGTTAGAAACTTAGAGGTCAGAGGGTTTTCATATCTACCTGTAAATGTTAGAGGAACTACATTAGAAGCCAGTTTTAAACCTACAGCATATGAAATAAGTCTTCAAAATTGATTAATCCACATACTAGTGTCACACACGCTGGATCCCAAGGCAGGTGATGAACTGCAAAGTGGGAAAAGACATGGTCTTGACCCAAAAGCATCTCAGTCTCTAGTAGCTCAACCATTTAAAATAGCTTTAAAAGTACAGGATCCATGGCCTTTGTGAAAAGGTTCCATACACGTTCTAAACATAATATGCTAGCCTAAAAATAAAGTTTGATCTGAATTTTTATGTATGTGGCATCCAATTTTCAGGAACGAAAGGAGCTTGCTATATAATGATGTCTTTTTACAAATCTTTTGTAAAGGAATTGATTGCCATGACACCATTTGTTTTACATAAATGTGGATTTCTATATACAGAGAGACACTTCCCATTTACAGGGAATATGTTCCAGACTGCTTTGAATCCCATAAGTATTTTGACAATGATGGATGAAAAAGAGCTTTATTTCTGAGACAAACTTCTGTTACCACCTGTCCATGTATCCCTACAAAATTCTCCTTTTGTCAATGTTTTTCACAATTCTTCTAGCTAAATAAAGAATAATGTGATGCTTTCTTAGAAGCTAATATTTTTCATTAATTCTCTGACTACCTTCTAGATTTGAATGTCTCTGAACTAGAATTGTTAAAATCTTTCCCTTCTGGAAAAAAAGTTTGGGACTTTAGCTCAGAAGGTTTATGATAGGCAGCAACAGTGATACAAAATATCCAAAACTCCCAAAGTGGGACTGTAGTAGATGTGCTAACAGTTAAACACACCTCTAAAATAAATCAAAGAAGATTTTTAAAAACTCTACAGGTAAACTTACATTCAAGCAACAAGAGGCAGACTATTACTTCAATAAAGACAAGGAGGATTTTTATTAAAGCCTTTACCATTTGAGGTTCCTCAATACTTATCTGTAATCTTTGCTCTGTTTGCACTTGAGATGTTCTCTGCCAGTACATTTTTCCCATTAAAGAAATATCCTAGAAGGAAAAAAAGAAATAATTAAAATAATGTCAATTTTAAAAATCACTGAGGCATATTATTCAATGCAGCAAAATGCCAGTCAATATAGTTCAGTAAATGAGAAATATAAGTGAGTCAATATTATGCATGCAATTAGAAATACAGAACAAAAAATACAAAAACACATGTCTATTATTCCAATTTTATGGCTTCTTAAATAATTGATTTCTATAGATATATCATCAAATTGAATAAGATCAGGTAATATTAAATCAGATATTGTAAAACACTGCTAATCTATGGCTACACAAGAAAGATAAAATCAAAACTAAAATTTAATCTAACCAAGAGCAAGAAAGAATATGAATATACTTTAAAATTTTAATAAGTATAACTATTAGTTTCATCTGTATAATTATTAATGCTAAAATCTATGATATGCCCTCTACTCAGCTGAAATGGTAAAAAAGATAGCACACCACAACATCTAGCGATGGATAGGAATAAAAAGACCCAGCTTCTGCCCAAACTGTAAAGTCATAGACCAGGCATCCACTAAGGTTCCCTTAACCTCAGTTTTATCTTCCTTAAAATGGGTATTCAAGTACATGACTTTTTAAGGCCTCTTTCTCCTCTAGTCTTTTAATAATGTCAGTAGCAATATGACATTGTGCTTTTAAACTCTGCTTTTCTACCTTTTCTTGGCTTTGTGAAAAAAAAATAAATCCAACTGAAGCCACTAGCTTCTACTCTACTCTCTTGTCATAAATAATTATAAACTGGACAAAATGTAAAAACAACTCTTTTAGGATTGGACAACTGGCAGTGTAAGACTATGATGACTAAGAAAATGGATGTAAAACAAAACAAAACAAGACCAAAAAAAGTTAAGAGCTAAATTACCCCAGATTTCTGCCTTACACAATTTTCAGATGATAACACAATGAAAGGGAAAACATACAGAGCCCAGGTGTCTTACTGAGTGGAAGAGACAGAAATTAGAGCAAGGAGAAGACAAAGAGGGTAGCCTTCGTTAGGTACAGTAGGGAGAAAGAGGCTTCAGAAATCTGCAGAAACCCTCAAAGTGTCCTTGACCATTTGGCTGAATACCATTCTGCTCATGCAATGGTGAAGCCCATGAAGCCAGACAAAGAAAAACTGCCATGACAATAAAAAATAAATTAAAAAATTACCAAAGAGCTGTCAGCCACAATTCCCAGAGCTCACACAAGCTGGGGATCATTAGCTTTCCCACCACACATACAGAGTACCTGGTACATTCATCATAAACCTCAGAAGGATCATACATTAGTAGCAGTGCTGAATAAGCCTTAGAGTAAAGGCTCCTCTGAATCTGAACAACATTTTAAGTAATACTTCAAAAGATACAGGTGATCTTCATGTAGCTTAACTGCCTATCAGGTTAAACTGTAACATTTTTTTTTTTTTTTTTAATCCTCACCCGAGGACATTTTTCCATTTTTTGTTCAGGTAGAGTGGGAGGGAGAGAGAGGAACAGAGAGAGAGAGAGAGAAACATCGATGTGAAAGGAACACATCGAGTGGCTGCCACCCGCACAACCCACCAGGGCCGGGGACAAACTGCAACCGAGGTACGCGCCCTTAGCAGGAACCGAACCCGGGTCTCTCAGGACCGCAGGCCGATGCTCTAACTGCTGAGCCAAACCGGTCAGGGCATTAAACTGTAACATTTTTTAAATGAAGACAACAAAATGCAGTACTCCACAATATAAAATTCACAAGGATTATCATCTAATCAAAAGTTATACAGAAAAATCACAAATATGTAAGACATAGTAATAGAAACCATAAAAAATGAATTAGATATATAAAAACTGAAACAAATATTCAATATAACATATGTTTAATTAGAGTTCCAGAAAGGAGGTGTGAGGGGAGCAGAAAATATTTGTACACAAAAATGGCCAAAATGTTCCAAATCTGATGACAACTATAAACCTCCTAATGCAAGAAGCTCCATGTACGTCTAGCAGAAACACACAAAGAACATTGTGCCAAGTATATGATAATCAAAATGATGAAAAACAATAATAAAGAAAAAAATCTTATAAGCATCCAGAGAAACATTAAGTATAACTAAATAATTACCAGTAACTAATTACTACAAATTAATACTGCAGGCTTCCTGTCAGAGTTGTAAAAGCCAAAAGACAAGAATCAATATATTTTAGAGTCCCTGGACTAAAAGAAAACAACTGTCCGCAGAGAATTATATATCCAGCAAAATATCTTTCAAAACCAAAGGTGAAATACTTTTTCAGCAAACAAAAGGTAAAAAAAAAAAAAAAAAGTAATCATCAAACCTGCACTACAAGAAATATTAAAGGAAATTCTTCAAGCAGATGTAAAATGATATCAGATTAAAATTTGAATGTTCACAATAGAAATAAATGGCAGAATGAAAAATGTGGGTAAATAAAATACATTTTTCCCTTTTAAATTATTTCTTTCAAATATAATTGACTGTTTAAATAAAAAATAATAATGAATTGTGAGAGCTATAACCTAAACACATGTGAAGTATGTATTAATGATAACACAGTGATGGAAAAAGGAAAAATATATACTACCATAAGGTCCTTATGCCTATGTGAAATGGTATATTATTTACTGGAATAAGTTAAATGAGCATATTGTAAACCATATAGCAGCCACTAAAAATATAAAACAAAGAGGTAAATAAACAAATCATACAAGATAACATAAAATGCTTAAAAAGTAATCAAAATATGGTAGGTAAAGATTTAAAAAAGAAGCAAAGAGCAAATTTGACAAAACCCAAATAAGAAGATAAATCTAAACCCAACCATCTCAGTAGTTACAGGTAAATGGTTCTGAACATTTTAATTGAAAGACAAATTGTCATACTGAAGAAAAACAACATGATTCTATATATGATTGCTGTAAGAAACCTATGTTAAGTATAAAGATATAACTAGGTTAAAGTAGAAGACTGAAAGAAGATATGATATGCAAACACTAATCATAAAAAAAAAAAACTGGAGTAGGTATAATTGTATCAGACAAGATAGACCCCAAAACAAGAAATATTAGCAGAAGAAAGAGGATTACTTCATAATAATAAAATAATCAGGATCTTCAGAAGACATAAAAGTATGCACTAATGACAAAGGGCAAAAAACAAAACCCACTAGAAGTGAAAATAAAAATCAAAAATTTCACTATACCTTTGGAAATTTCAAACCAAGAATATATCTGGTTCCAGAGACTTCACTTTTGATAAATATACTAGCTAGACAGTTAATGGGGAAAGGGCAAGCCTATAAAATATTCTTTACAACCTCTTAGGTTTAAAAATATATCATTAAAGTATAAAACTATGACAATAATAGAAAGATGGCGGCGGGCAGGACCAGAGGGAGGGTGAGTGTATGAGAGAGTGAGCAAGTGTGTGAGAAGGTGGACAAACAAACCCGAGCAGTGCAGACCTGCGGAGCAGAAGGTTCCTGTGCTGTGGTTCTAATACCTCTGTAAGCAGCCCTTCAGGGCTCTTCTCCCTGAACCTTGGGGAGGTCCAACCATTTTGGAAGATCCCGGGTCTTCCCTGGGAGGAGGCACTGGGAGCTGCTAAGACCCAGCAACCTGAGCCCACCAGTACACCAGGCACCATCAGACAGGTGGACACTCTGTGTCAATACAGACCGGTGCACAGTAGTGGAGCTCTCAAGGTGCCTGTCGCAGAAGCCCCAGACAACCCGGAGCCCAGCACCTTCCCCCATAGTAGCAGCCCGATCAGAGTTGAGATATACCTCCAGCAACAGAGACTAGGGAGCAGACATCCATCCCTAGGCAATAGAAGCACAGACCAGCAGCTGAGACCCATCCCCAAAAACTACAACAAAAGCTGAGCGGGAGTTGAGTGACACAGGGCAGCAGCATTCCCCCAGCCGCCAGCTGCAGGACCTGGGGCTCCACAGAGGCCTGTGCTGTCCAGTAGCTCACAAGAGCAGTGGGAAGCCAGAGCCCTAGAAAGACTGGTGCGATCCAGCTGCACACCCATGGGACCTGCAGGGTGCAGGGGCACCAGAGAGGCCTGTGCCACCAAGTAGGGTCTGTGAAATCCAGTTACCCTTGGGACCTAAGTGGTGCTGAAGTACCAGAGAGGGCTGTGCGACCCAGCAGTCCATAACATAGGCATAGAGCCTGGTCCCCAAAGGGACTGTGCGATTCAGTTACCCTGGGGACCTTCAGGGTGCTAGGGCACCAAAAAGGCCTATGCAACCCAGCTGTGCACAAGATAGGCATAGAGGATGTGAAAAACAGACACAGAGTGAATAGAACCTACACAGAAGATCTCCCAGGACCAAACAAGAATTACAACTAAAGTAAAGACAAATCCTCGGAAAATAAGCATCAGAAAACCAGCGGGACAGGACCATATAACGAGGGACACTGGTAGGATCTGCGGAGGCGTGAAAGGGTGGCAGGCTGGGAGCCCACAGATAGCAGCAGTCTTAGCTGTGAGCAGCGGCCTTGAAAAATAAATACCAAGCCTGTTCCATAGCTCAGAGAGCCAGAACAGAGCTCTAAAATAGCCACAGCCACTTACCTGGGGGCTACGGCAGAGAAAGGGCAGACAGAACTGGAACTCTGTGGGGACACCCAAGATTTGGAGGGCACTCAGAGTTTTTGCTGAGTTACGGCCACAAAGGACAGTGGCCAGTGTGCTCCTTCCCCAAGCTGTGGGGAAAAGCAGCAGCTCTCCACCCCTCAGAGATACAGCCTTTCCCAGGTGAGGCAAAGAAATGCAAATTGAGGCTCATTAACAACCAGCATCTATCCCACCCTCTGGAAATCCTCTTACACAGAACACCAGGGCTACATTCCAAGGCACTGAGTAATAGAGACTACTAGCCACCAGGAAAAAGCTAGAGGATAGCTAAACCTTTCCTGGGCTTACAAATCTACCTAGGAAATTAAGACTTGACAGTGGTGTTTAACGTGGGCCAACCCAA